AGGGAAAAATTAAAAAGAAAACACTGCTTAGGAGAATAGTCTTCAAACAGTAATCATTTGAAAAGCTTGTTAAAGATGCAAATTCTTGGAGTACCAACCGCTGACATTCTTCTCAATCAATAGTTGTAATGATGGTGCTCTAGAAAACTGCATTTTCTACTTTTTATTTATTTATTTTTTTGGAGAGATATTCACTATAGGGCATGTGCGCTCGCCCGACTGACAGAGAGAGACATAGAGACAGAGACCAAGAAATCACCCCCCAGGGGAGATGGTCACACCATAATCCCTTCTCCTGCATTCTCCTCTCGGGATCTTGGGCACGCACGCACACGCGCCCGGCGTGAGTTTTAAGTCACCGGGTCCGGGACACAAACCGCGGTTGACTACGTGGGAGTCCAGCGACATAGCCATTAAACTAAATGCTGGTTCCCGAAAACTGCATTTTCAATAAGTACTTTAGGTGATTTTGATGCAAGTAGTTCAAGTGACTCATGACTAGAACAAGGTTTCAATTCTAGAAGTTACTAAAGCAAGTAGAGATTGGAATACATTTTGTTTTAAGACTGTAGACATAAACTAAAGAGATCAGTGGAAATTAAATATTAAGTCAGTAAAAAGAAAATATTTAACTGGCAAAATAGCTATCAACTGTGAAAGGTAGACAGCAGGGAAAGGAATTTTTTTATTATAAAAAAAATTCTCAACTACACACTCAACAAATCAAAAGGGAAAATTTTACAAGCCAAATTTATAAAGCAACAGGAATTTAGTTAGAAACCCAATAAGCTATTTAGAACCTAGAAACCATGTTAAATAACAATAATGTCCTTAAAATTTGTGTATCAAACCAATCATTTATAATAACTTTGTAAGCTCTATTTCAGGTTAATTAAATTTTCAAAATATTTATTCAGGGACTATATATTGCATAGTTTCTGAGAGGCACTAAGGATTTAAGGTTAGAAAAAATAATAGTTACCTTTAAGCTTCTTAAAAGTAGCAATATTATACTTTTACCAAACTACTTATTCTAGAAAGGATATTCAAAAATATTACTAATAGCACTATTCTTAGCTATTACAACATATCTGAGAAATCAATATTGTGCTCATCAAGGTTCTCCAGAGAAACAGAACAACAAGATGGAGGTATGTGTATGTATGTATATATTTGTGTGTGTGTGTGTGTTATAAAGAGATTTATTTCAAGGAATTGGCTCATTTAGTTATGGTGACACAAGTTCCAAGATTAGTCAGCAGGCTGGAGACTCGGGAGTTAATGATGTAATTCCAGTCTGAATAGAGTTAGGCTACAGATTCAGAAAGAGCTTTTCAACTTGAGTCTGAAGGCTAGAAAGAACCAATTTTCCAGATTGAGACAGTAAGGCAAGAGTTCCCTCTTACTCTTTGGATGGTAAACCTTTTTGTTCTATTCTGGCTTTCAATTTATTAGATGGGTGTTTTTACCCACGTTGGGGAGGGCAATATACTTTATTTAGTCTACAATTCAAATGTTAATCTCATCTAGAAACACCCTTGAGGACAAAACCAGTATATTTGACCAACTGTATGAACACCCATAGACCAGTTAATTTTGTTAAAGAATTATTTATTTAATTTTATTTATTGTCATTTATTTTGACCATAGAGAGACAGACACACACACAGAGAGAGAGAGAGAGAGAGAGATGGAAATTGAGAAAGCAAGCCACCAGGTCCAGGACTTGAACTGTGGTCGGCCATGTGGGAATGTCCAGCCTCTTAACCACACGCCACCTGCTGGTCTCTAGACCAGTTAATTTAACACATAAAATTAACTTAAGTCTACCCCTTGTCAACTTGGTACCTGTACACATCTTCTTACACCACATTCAAATACCAAATGAAGACAATAACAAAGTCATAATTTCACCTAACATGATATAACTATCTTGAGTAAAAATGAGAATGCATTAACCATAAAGAAGAAATAAAGTTCTTCAGTGATTTTTATTTTTCTTCTCAATATTCTGTAACTTAAATATATGATGAAAAATTAGCAGTACTTAAATACTATGAATATGGTTCAACATACGCAAAACCATAATGTAATACACCATATTAATAGGAAGAAAGATAAAAACCATATGGTCATATCAATTGATGCAGAAAAAGCATTTGATAAGATACAACATCCCTTCATGATCAAGACTCTCGGCAAAATCGGCATAGAAGGGTCATTTCTCAACACAATAAAAGCTATCTATGACAAACCCATAGCAAACATCATCCTCAATGGAGAAAAACTGAAAGCTTTTCCACTAAAAATGGGTACAAGACAAGGATGTCCACTTTCTCCACTCCTCTTCAATATAG